AGAGAGAGAGAGAGAGAGAGAGAGAGAGAGAGAGGGAGGGAGGGGGGGGGGTGGCGGCGAAGGAAGGGAGGAAAAGAAAAGAAAGAAAATCAGGCTGGTTTGACTAGTGGCTCAGTCCTGTAGTCCTAGTTATTCAAAAAAGAGACTTGTGAGGATCACAGTTCACAGCCAATCAGAGCAGGAAAATCTGTGAGACTCTTACCTCCAATTAACCAACAACAAGCTGGAAGTGGAGCTGTGACAGCCTTGAGCAAAAATACTAAGGGACAGTGCTCAGGCCTTAAGTTCAAACCCCAGGACCAATACACACACACACACACACACACACACACACACACACACAGGATCTTGGGAGCCTCCGCAGGCAGCAAACTCCTTGCCATCCCAATGATGGGAGCCATTTACAGATTCCTTTAGGAATTCCTTTTACCCCCTCAACCCTCACCAACTCCATCCAAGGCTTTTCCTGGAGACGCTATCAGAACCCCTGACTCTACCCATGGATTTCTCTAAAGAACTCTTTGGGGGAGCACCTTGCCCTTTGGACTGTGCCTTTTTTGATGTCGTTTGTTGTTGCTTCTGCCGGCCACGGGGCTTGAACTTAACTCTAGGCCTGTGTGCTGCCCCTGAGCTGCTTTCACTCAAGGCAAGAACTCTACCACTTGAGCCACAGCACCACTTCTGGCTTTGTGAGTAGTTTATTGGAGATAACAGTCTCACAGACTTTCCTACCCAGGTTGGCTTCGATCTGCGATCCTCAGATCTCAGCCTCCTGAGTAGCTAGGATTCCAGGCATGAGCCACCAGCGCTGGGCAGGACGGTGCCATGTTTTGATCTAACAAATTCCCCCCTGCTTAGCTTCTTCCAAGTCCCTAGGTGCAGGCTGTATGGGTCGTTATCCCCCAGGATGCAGCAGTGAGAATGCGGAGCCTGAGGCAGGATCTGAGCAGGCCTGGCTACTTTGGGGTTCTGAGTTCCACCCTGGGGACAGGCTGAAGTGTGCCCAAAGGGGCACTGACATGCACAGTTAAGAGGTGACTCCGAAACACAGCAGAGCCCAGTCAGACGCTGATGGCTGGGCTTACTCGCAGTTATTACGCCCGTCCAGCCTAAGGACTGGATAGCGGACCACACTTCGGCATGTCTGTACCCAGAACACACTGCAAGAGACTGTTGTCGCCTGTTTCGCAGCTGGGGAAACTGAGGTACAACACGGTTACATGACTTCATTCTGGGTCAAGACACGAGGCAGGGCTGGCAGGGAAAGCCAGGAAGATGAGCTCCAGACTGCAGTTCTCAGCCCCTGAAGTGAAGCGCTTAAGCCTGGTGACCAGCCAGGGCAGAAGCAGTGGGGAGCCTGGGAGAAGCCTTGCACGTGCACGTGCGCGCGCGCACACACACACACACACATATACACACACACATACACACACACACCCTGGGGCCCAGGGGGATTTAATTAAGGCTCAGAAGCTAACGAGCTGCTGATAATTAAGGCTCTGGTTTCCCCAGTGAAGCAGATGGTGACCTGGGGAGGGACGGCGCACCCCACAGCGGGCCAGGCTCTTGCGCCAGACCCAGCCTCCAGAGAGAGAGCCTCCTCGCTGCCGTTTCCTGAGGGGTGGGGGTAACAACAGAGCCCTCCAGGCCTGGGCCACCGCACCACCTCAAGGCCAGTAGGATCTAGGGGCCAAGGTGTGAACCATGGCGATTTGGTGGACGTACACGAAGGAATTGTTCAGGATTTACCCTAAGGTCATTTGTAACCGGGCATCTGTTAGTATGCTGTCTCTGGCAGCCCTAGTCGGCGTCCAGCAGGTCTGCAGGCGAAGCTGGTTCTGGGCCTGTTTCTCCAGGTGTCTAAGCTTTGGTGATTGATCAGGGAGGGAATGGTGGAGGAGGGGGAGGTGGCTCAGAGGGGGAAAGCCTTCCTTCCGCAGCTCAGAGTACCAGGGATCCTCACCTGGCCCAGTAGTACTCTAGCGTGTTTACAATCTGCGCCACAGCTACATGGCGGCAGCGGCAGGTGGTGAGGGGCCCAGCCATGAAACCAGTTTACCTGAGTGCCTCAGTTTACCTGAGTGCTCCATGACTTCCCCAAGGAGCCCCTAACTTGGATTCTATCCATCTCCCAATTTCTTAGAGGAGACTGAGGCTCCCCCCCTCCCGCCCCGGCAAAAAAAAAAAAAAAAAAAAAGTCTGAAGTAGAACTATGGCTTAAGTGGTAGAGCAATAGCCTGGAACAAAAATGCTCAGAACTCGCACGTGGGCCTTGAGTTCAAGCCCTACAACCAGCACAAAAAGACTGGCCCATCTCCAAGGCACTGGCAGCATTTGCCATTTGGGATCCTTTGCCGTCCCGGGCCTCAGTTTCCCCATTAATAGGACACAGCCAGGCCCAGCATCCGGTTGACCTCACATACCCCCCAGAGGGCCCCCCCTACCGCACGACCACAGCCCTGGGGCAGCTCACCTGCTGCGGGAGCTGGGCAGCCCCCAGCAGCTGCAGGGTCTCCAGGTGCGAGTGGAAGAGGGGGCTGGGCTGCAGGCGGCCGCCCAGCTTGCACTCCACGATGTAACCTACTGTGCAGTCATCAGGAAGCCGGATGAGCGCCGACGTGTCCACGAAGCGGGAGCCGCTGGGGGTGGGGCAGAGCAGGCTGGAGCCTCCCCCCTTGGCTTCCCCCCGGAGCCTCC